CTATGCCACTCAATCATCCTGTTTTGAAAGTGTTTCGCAACAAGCACAACTAGCTGACACATTTTACCTACTAACTTATTCATTATTTCGTTCAATGTATTCAGTTGTTTGGTCATGTTGTCATAATGTGCATCCCCATTTTGGGTAAATCTTTCCATATTATGAACATTTCGTAAATTTACCTGTTCAACGACATAGTGTGTGAGTTCCCCAAGCAATGCACTCATGGTTCGATGACTCAACTCCGTCATTGGCTCGCAGCGACTTTGACTGCTTTGACTCTGTCCCTCTATTCGTGGAGAGTTTTGCTGCTCCTCATATCGCTCAATCACAAAATGGACTACTCCTTGACTTGCGATTCCTTATCAGAATTCTTATGAGGCATAATGCTTCACTTTTTTGTATCATCAAACACCAATTGTCCCAATGGGCGTGCCCAATTGTTTCGCCCGGGTTATCGCTAATAATTAAAAAATGTTCAGACGATTGTGTAAGGAACAAATCTCTTGAGACAAAATCTCAAAAATGGGTGCTTTATTGATGAAGATTACAATTGGAAATAGACAGAATGTCTCCAAAAGGCGTAAGCACACGAGTACTAAAAAGAAATGTTTTAAAGTTAAATTGAAGAAATTTAAATTATATATTCTTTATTGAGAGTGTTTGATTTTGGATCCCTTTCTCTATGTCTTCCTTTCCTTTTTATACTCCTTTGATAGTTTTTTCGTGAAAAACTGCTTGAAAACTGTTTTTTGCTCTTTAATTATCCACTTTCTTTTATGATGACTGACTTGTCATGGAACTGCTGTCTTTAACGTTGTCATTACTCTTGTCGTTTAACTGCCTACAACCAGGATTGGGCACTACATTCGTTCAGATCGTAAAGCACTACATTCGCTCAAATCCTGGGCGACTTGCGAGATTGGCGATGATGTTACTTTGCTCGTGGGCCTCCACTGTATTCATTAATGGTCATATTTGGACCTTCTTCCTGAATTTTTTAATTGAGTTTCGTTCCTTGGACTTTTTAATTTGGGATACACTTTTGTATGTTAACAAACTAGTTTTCTAGTAGTCGCTCCTAGTTAATTATTGTCCATAGGCCAGCCTAGGTAGGTCACTAACGTGTTACGACTTATTATAATGAACAAAAGACAGTTGGCAAAATATGATTGCTAGTTGAGTAGCTAATTCAATAACTTTAAGGAAGTTTATACAATAAAATAAATAATTAAATTAAAATATTGTGAAACCTAACGTGTTAACACATAGAGGCGGTCGTACTTTATTATTTCAAATTGTCAACACTAATTGTATTGTTTAACTTATAAATTTAATTGTTCAATGAGTACATGGTATTTAATAAACTCAGTCCCTAAAGTTTTGAAATGTTTCAATTTCATCCCTAAGGCTTTATTTGAGACAATTGTTCCCATGACTCAGCACGCCATACATTTTTAGGGAATAGGGCATCTCCAATGATATACCAAATTGGTATGAAAAAAATCCACTCGTGTGGTACGTTAAAACACCACACCAATTTAGATGTGATATTCGAAGTTTTTCATTATCCCTATTTTGTTCTTCATGTTATGTTACAACAAATTTAAATTTCTATTATAACCTTTTTATTATTTAATAATTTCATTTATTTTATATTTATTTATATTTATTTTAAATTTATTGTTTTTTAATTGTAGTATTAAGTGAACTTTTTAAAAAAATTATTAATAATTACAATATTTTAGTTAATTAAATACAATATTTTTTCGGGCCGAGCCAATGAGCTGGATTGACATTGTTATATGAGAGCTGCACCAATTTGATGTGAAAGTTGCATTTTTTTTAAAAAAAAATATGTGCGTGTCATACACTTAGGCAAATTAATTGCTTAATTTAGAAGAGAAAAAAATAGAAGAACTAGAAAACGAGAACTCTATCCATTCCTTCTCGTCTCCTTATGGATTGTATGGAACTCACTAAGCATTGTACTTCCTTGGATCGCATTTAATCAAGACAACTTATCGACTTAACTTACATCCTTAAATTTCGTAAAAAGAAAACTTCGAATTTACAAGTGTCAGCATTCTTAACACTAACCACAAGTGAGTTTATTCATTGTCGGCACCTCCGTTAAGCCCGTAATGCAAAATGGTGGATTTAGAGGAAAAGTTGGCAAACTTATAGGAAAAAAGTGTAACCAATCGATTTTATAATTGAATTCTATTCTAATTTGAATTCTAAGAAACTTCGAAATAAAGCAATTAATTTCTTTACAACAAAAATTATAAATTTCACAGAATAAAAATATTATTATCATTAACACTTGACCTTGTAATCGCCGAAATTTGAAATTATTAATTCCAGCTATACTCCCTCAACTCAAATCCCCCCACCAATCTTGTTCTCTCTTGGCTGCGCTTGTGTTCCACTCGCTGTCGGTGAATGGACCAGATCGCCTCAAGTCAGGATTATGACACCGGTGGCGCAACCCCTTACGGCGGCCACACCACTGAAACAAATGATTTAAGAAACCTCGATTTTCTTGTGGGTTTGTCAATCAGTCAAGAGTATGATTACAGTTTTGAAATTCCCGACGAATGCTTGGCCCTGATATTCCAATCATTAAGCTCTGGTGACCGCAAGCAGTGCTCTCTTGTTTGCCGGCGGTGGTTGGCCGTGGAGGGTCAAAGTCGCCATCGCCTGGCCCTGAATGCAGCCGCAGAGGTAAGTGCCTACTTGCCCAATATCTTCACCCGGTTTGAATCCGTCACCAAGCTCACCATCCGGTGCGATCGCAAGTCTGTCAGCATAAACGACGAGGCATTGACCTTAATCTCCCTCCGGTGCCGGAACCTGACCCGATTCAAGATCCGTGGTTGTAGTGAAATATCCGAACAGGGAATGCATAATTTGGCAAATAATTGTAAATCCCTTCGGAAATTTTCCTGTGGATCGTGCAGTTTTGGAGCTGAGGGCATGAATGCCCTTTTAAACAATTGTTCTTCCCTGGAGGAACTCTCTGTTAAGCGCCTGAAGGGAATCAAGGAGACTTTTGCTGCCGAGCCAATTGGCCCGGGAACCGCGGCTTCATCACTTAAGTCGATCGTACTTGAGGAGCTTTACAATGGGCAGTGTTTCGGACCTCTGATTATTGGATCGAAGAATTTGAGAACTTTGAAGATACTTAGGTGTTTTGGGGATTGGGATAGGTTATTGGAGACAATTTCGAGGAGGAAGAATTGTTTGATGGAGATCCATTTGGAGAGGCTGCAAGTGAGTGATGCTGGGCTAATGGCGATATCCAAATGCTCGGATTTGGAGGTCTTTCACTTGGTGAAGACTCCCGATTGCTCAAACAAGGGAATCTGCGCAATAGCTGAGAATTGTATGCTTTTGAGGAAGCTTCACATTGATGGATGGAGGATGAATAGGATAGGCGATGAAGGATTGACTGCGATCGCAAAGAATAGTGTGAATCTCGTGGAGTTTGTGCTTATAGGTGTGAACCCAAGTTCCACGAGTTTGATGGCAATAGCCTCAAATTGTCAGAAGTTGGAAAGGTTAGCGCTTTGCAGGTGTGAAACAATTGGAGATCCTGAGATTTCTTGTATTGCAACCAAATGTATGGCTTTGAAGAAGCTTTGGATAAAGGGGTGTCGGGTGACAGATTCAGGGCTCGAGGCATTTGCTTTTGGATGTCCGAATTTGGTGAATCTTAAGGTGAAGAAGTGTAGGGGAGTGACGACCAAAGTTGCGGACTGGTTGAGGTCAAAGAGAGTATCACTGGTTGTGAACTTGGACGCAGATGGGATGGAACCCGACGTCATGGAAGTGAGTGTTAGTGATGGAGGAGCATAAGATGAAGACACGATGTTTGGCCTTTTTGGAGGATATCAAATGGTAATGGTAGTTCAATATAGCTTATAAGTTATACATGAACTGAGTGAGAGATGAAAGGACTTGTTTATTTTCCACTTTTGTTTGATTTTGCACTTCAACGTTGTGGCATATGCAATACAAAATTCTCTTTTCCTTGACATTTTTCGAGTGGAATTAGTTTTGTTCAGCACTTCTATGTAAGCAAGAGAAAGTGTAGTGAGGAACTCATACCCAGATTTCAGCAAGGTATTATATACTTTTTCATGCATATTTTTAACTAATCCCTTGTACACTCTATTTAATAGAAATTCAAGCAATATGATTTTGAACACATGCCATTGTAATTGTGTTTGCACCTCATTTGAACAGCCTCTGTTTGGTGTATGTTAAAATCAGATTTTTAATAGATTTTGATAAAAGTTGATGAAATGCGTGGTTAAAATGTTGTGGATCCCTAACCCTGAGGGGTTGCTCAATTGGTCAGGCCTTGGGTTTGCTCCCCCAATGGTCACCAGTTCGAGTTCCCTTAGGGCCACGGAGGTGAGTATTCGATCGTAAACTTTAGCGCCCCGTGGAATTAGTCGAGGTGCGCGCAAGTTGCCCCGAACATTCACGGTTATCAAAAAAAAAATGTTGTGGATCCCATGAAATGTATAGTTAAAATTAATTGTTAAATTTGACTTAGAACTTTTAGTAGATTTTAATCTACACCAAATAGGGGTGTATATCTATTCAATTGTTTCTGATGTCGGGCGAATGAATTTAGGACTTTGAAAGGTTCTAGGACTCGTCGTTGTTGTTGCCTATAAGAATCTTCCATTGTACTTGCTCTGCTATTAGAATCTAGGTAGCTTCAAGGTCGATTATGTCCATGCACATTGGTCTTCTAGTTATGATTTAGATGCGCGTTAGAAACTTGCTGAAATATGTTATGCAGTCGAGTAAATGAATAAATCTCTATATGCCAAGAAATTTGTACGAGAAATATGATGTATTACAACTGTGAATCTTGCTATGAGTTCCATCAAATGAAATAGAACGATCCCTGTAACTGGACTAGTATACAAATTCTACTGGAACATCAAAAAAAAACAAGAAATAACAGAGGGAAAAATCTTCACTCAAAAAGAATTGAACGATTAGATGGAATGGAAATCAAGACGGTATTGACTGGCTATCTATGTGTATCGTGCCTTTGCGTATTTACTCAACAAGAATAGTAATCTTGTCTTTGGAGATCTGAAGTTAAGGCTTGCTTCATGACTTCGCAAAACCGTATAAATCTGTAAATCACCGGTACTGAAAAGTTCTAGTTATTTGATGAATACCTTGTGGTAACTTGTTCAATTGTTACTTTTGCCGAGCGCTTCCTCTTGTTCCGGGATCCACGTCTTCTAGTTGTCTGGCTTTTGGTTGTATGCTTCTCAATGTTATCCTGGATGTTGATTGCTTTTTCACCAGAAGATGGAAGTTTGGGATGAGCATCTGGCCATGGAGTGCGTTTTGCTGGGACGATAACGTCTAATGGAGGATCAATTATCCATCTGCATGAAAGAAAAATAGTACTGACATTTAAATAAGTTTTTCCTCCAAAATCAGGGTATAGAAATGACTGCTAGCAGCGGAGAATAAAATTTACATGTACATTATATAGATACACAGATTAATCGCTAAGAAAATAGAGTTTCTTCGGCATGCATCACTCATTTCAGATCTTGCTTGGTAAGCAAAAATATGAATTTAACGCAGACCACCGCCAAAATTATAGAGTTTAGATTACACATTAGAAGAATTTATATCGAACAATGAACTTAAGAATTTAAGAAAATATAATCAAATATAGAACTTCAGAATGAAGGACAGTAAACAATAAGTCCACCTATGGCTTTGAAGTAAAAAGGAAATTTATATAAAGCAGGCGATAATGAATTCACAGACCAAAGCTCTCAAAAACCTTTGAACGTCAATTGGCTGCAGTAATAATTATGATAAAACTCCCCGGCGCATCCCGCCAAAAGAGGTAACAATAATAAGAATAAATAAAAAAAGGATAAATAGACGAAATTTGAAACAACAGAGCAACCCAAAGTAAGACGGCATGATACTTCATGGCCATGAACAAGGAGAAAAAGGATTTCACATTTGTGTTGAGGGTGATTCTCCAAGTAATGGCAGAGCCATCGCACTTGCAGAAAAAGCCAAAACATATGAGTCAGCATCCTTAAGTTGGATAGCTTTGGGGGCAAATAAGGGTTAAGTGATATCAACCTTGAATGATCAGTAAAGGCATATGACGTTTACCTCTGCTAAATAGTTCATGGGAGGCCTGGATTGGTTGAAGAAATTATGGAGTTATAACAGGAGACTATCTGCCCTGCATATATTCTAGAAGACAGAATTGGTAGTGGCTTAGGATTGCATCTCTCAATAAGATGGCCAAATGAAAGGCTTTAATATGAAATCAAACTTGTCCTTGGAGATAAATAGGAGTTCAATGTCCTATACTCAAAACTTGCCTTAATATCACCAATATATATATATATATATATAGCCAAATTCTCCAATTTCAGATATAAATGCTAATATTTTAAGATTAAGCCCCTATTTGGAATATAGATTAAAAACCTGCTAATATCTAAGTCAAAATCAACAATTAATGTTAACCCACGGTTCAGGGAGCCACAACTTTTCAATCGCACATTTTATCAATTGTTATAAAAATTTACTAAAAATCTGATTTTTAGCTACACCAAACAAAGGCTAAGAAAATTATTAATTTGAAAGATGTGTGCATGAGTAGCAGAAAAATAAGTTCTCTTTTATATGGAAATGAAAAATATTTAAAATGTAAATTCAACTGCTTTGGTGAATCCACTTTCCGACGTTTTTGGTGATCAGTAAAGGAGTATGTTTTTTGTCCATCGTTGGATGTTCAGCAAATGTGCTGAGATACTGGCCTACCGCATTCAACCCCACCAAAAAGAAAGAAAAGGGGAGGAAATTTGCGTATATTGTTCACCATGCCAATATCAGTCATCACCTTGGCTTTTTTCGATTAGTTTCTCCATCCTTGTGTATTTCTCCCATAAAACTGTTTTGAACTGTTTTGTTCAACATTCCTTCGTAACTCACCACAGGTTTCCTTGTAACTATCTTCCAATGTCTACCAAAAAGTCTCCAGAAATGTCAACTAAGATCGTGTTAACTCAGTATATCACACAAAAAAATGAATTTGTTCATACACATTTTTTTAAATAGAGTGATGGATGCATCTTTATGTGAGGAATAGCTTCAAGCTTTGAGTCAAGTTTAGGGTAAATGGACTAGAAAAATCCAGTGGACAGGAATAGTGAGTAGAAAAGTTGGGAAAAGTTGCAAAGTATTAGGAACTTCAGGATAGAAAACTGATCCTGTTACTGCATGACCAATGCTGTTACATACTGATGATTGAGTAGAAAACTTGGAAAAGTTGCAAAAATATTAGGAATTGCAGGATAAAGAACTTGCAGCATATTCTGAGGAGACAAATGCTTAAGACCGATTGCCTGTGGCTTAATTGTGTTGCTTTCTAAACATCGTATAGTGTTATGGAGCTCTATCGCATGTGAGTGGAGTGCTGATAGCTGATTAGGGTATTGCTATGTAATTAATGAAAACGCCCACGTGGTGTGCCTACATAAGTTATTGGTAAGATTAATGAAGTAATCTGGTATCCTAGATATCAAGCCACAGTTGCCGAAAAATTTGCACAGTGCACAGACGCAACAAGATTATTAGTATGACTAACAATAAAAGCAGTGATCAAATTGCCTCACTGCTTTCATAGGTCAAATCCACAGATAAAAATGCTACAAAAGATTGTCCTCACATGAAGATAGTCCTTCACATCGAGATCTAATGAAAGAGCTGCTCAATAGCACGCAATCCTATATTTTATCTCTATTGAAAAAATACAAAGCGTGTGTTTGTGAAGAATTCAAACGGTTTAATTTATAAATAGATATAAATAAGCAGTGAATAAGTTAATACTACTTGTGGGTCTATTAGAATGTGTGATTAAAATGAAGTTTGACCATTTGTAAATGATTTTAAAAAATTTGCCACGCAGAGGCTAAAACGTCAAAACCAAATCAGCCTGAACTGAAACTAATTGCTTCCCTTAGACAGACAAGCTTCATATCTAGAGAAACTCATTTGCAATCCACATGCAATGCACAGTGAAGGTTGAATTGAAAACTAGATAAACAGATGGAGAATTCAATCATAAGCACTATAAACAACCAGAATACAGACATTTTTCAAAACCAATTTATGGAAAACGAACCTGGCAGGGAATTTACTGTCTGCCCGAGCCTCAACACGCAGCCACCACAGCATGACCTTGCGCCCACAACTCCCTAGAGGCTCCACTAAAGAAGCATCCTTCAGCAAAGATAAAGGACTCTCAACATCGTCTCCATCCCTACCAACCTCATCCAAGTCCTTTACCCATTGCGGCTTATCTTCTACTTCCTTCCAAAATAACCTTGAATTAAAGATAAATCCAGCCCACTCCAGCTTCCTAGGCAGCACAACTCCCCTGTCACCAACATACCTTGCCCTCCTCTCTTGAAGTGGAAGCACATTGAAAGTATGCCACCCCACCAGATGGTTTGACGAATTACAAGATGGTCCCTGAACTAGCATCTGCAAATTCTTCTGATTCTTCCCACTGTTCTCTGTCTGAGCCACAGACAAATCTCCTTCTTCAGACCCTCCTGAATGTGCAAGAATTCCAACCGAAACTGCACCTACCCATTTTACTCTCTGGATCTCATCAAATAACTCCATACTATGCATATTACTGTCATCCACAAACATTACCATCCCATCTAACCTCTTCTTTTTCACAACTCTGCCCCATCACGAAAAGTTTAACTTGTCAAAATCACAAATCTACTAACAATGTAGTACTATTGAGCTAAATTAAAGCAAACTTTTACACTAAAAAATAATGAAAAGGAAAAGTAAAAAAACGAAAATAAAGCATGATCAACATGATGTACCTTAAGGCGTGTAGTCGCATTTGCACTTCTAATTTATGCCGATCGTCCCATAAAATCGGGATTTTCACATTATATCCAATATGGAATATTTTGAGGCCTGATTTTGAAATCAACGAGGCCGTTTCATTGGTGGCGCCACCAACTTCCACGACAATCCAGATCAGATCATAGGGCACATTCATCAGAGTATGCATAATGCCAGTTAGATGAAGCGTCTGAAAGGTCCGAACGTACGTCGGCGTGATTGCAATCACAGTTTTAGGGCTCTTCACTCCATACTGCAGCCTCTGTTCTCTCTGAACCCTGTCGATTATCCAGTGAGACTTCAACACCTCCTCCGGATCTGGATGCGGCCAAGGCCGTATTAGTATCCCGTGCCTCCCTACCACAACTCGACTCCCCTCCGCCGTCGCACCATTCACCGCCGGCTTCGACGTTGTGGTGGTAGATGGAAATGAATTGTGGAAAGCAGAATAGAGATTGACGGTGGCCCTGGTGGTGGTGGTGGTGGTAGTGGAGGGGGAGGAGGTAGAAAAAATGAGGAAAAATACCAAACGGGAGAATCGGAAACCAAGGACTAGACTAATAAGACAGCAAAGACCATGTAACAGTAGCCAAAAAATCGTTGCCTTAGACTTTACTCCACCGTCCACGGAAGAGTCCAGCGGCGATGATGCACTTCGAAAACTGTTGCTCCGGCGGCCCTGCTGCTGCAACGCCGATAGCAGCTTCATTTTTTTCCCTCCTTCCGACAACTACTCAGCACAGTAATGTAGTAGCTTCGAAGAAATTGGGTTCCGGTTGATGTGGTTAGGGGGAATTCACTTATAATTGAAAATGATTTCTTCAAATTCACGATTTAATTGTTACGTTACCGTCAGCTTCAATTTCCATTTCCAATTTCTGTTCAGCATATTTTCTATTTCTGTAACAATTCGGGCATAATGGAGAATATATGGGGTCAATCGATGGTTGAAAACAGGTATCAAGCCGAGCGGGGGTAGTTTGGGGATTTCATTAGATTTGTGTAATCTTTCATTTTATTGCATTAAAAGGACAGATGAATGGATTCCAGGTAAAATTCGATGCATTTTTAGTTTTCAAATGGAAACAATTAAAATATAATAATTAAATTTAAAAAATTATATTTTCCATGACGAAACATAAAAAAATGCATCGACAAACCAAGTTTCCGATTTAGCATTGTTGAGTAGAGAGCCCATAGAAGTGGTTGTTTCGGCATGGAAGTGAATAGAAAGGGGCGGAATGGGAGGGTTTGAACGACGATGTTACGATTGTGCAATCATGGTTATGATTTGCGTGTTGTTTTATGCATTGATGTGTGATTTTTGGCAAAGGTGGTGATGTTGTTTGTGGTGGCGGGTGGTCGATGGTTTACTGCTTTGATTTGGTGTAGTGCGGGTATAGGGTGGGGAAAATAAGATAATTATTGTTTATTTTAATTTTTTTTTATTTTTTCATATATAAAATGCAAAAGTTGCCGTTGTACCCTTTTGTCATTGTACTGCAACAAAATGAAAGGTTTGGACTTGTGGCTGCTACAAACTGAAGGTTTGGGTAAAATCTGTGGTAAAATGAAAATTTTGGGCTGCAACTACAATTCTCCCTAAATTTTACTCGTTATTGCACTCATGTCGCAGATTTTTCTAATGAGTAATGTTATTCATCCCCAATGGAAATGAAAACACAGTCTAGGTGGCCTTAAATGATAGATTAATTTAATCTATCATTTAAGGCCACCTAGACTGTATTTTCATCCCTAATTGGAATGAATAGTATTACTCTTTTCTAATTGTATTCTTATTGACCTTTCATTGATTAGTACCACTTTACGTTTATAATAATTTTCATCCAAAAAATCTGTTAAGTTGGAACAAAAAGTCTTATTTGTCCATCGTAGTTTATATATAAAAAATGTAACTAAATACAGAATTTTTAGATAAAAAGTCTTTAGGAATATTAGGGCCAGTTTGATTCTCATTATTGTAGAATGATAATAAAAAATATAATCGTTATTGGGCCCCACACAAGAGATAAAAATTCAAAATTGATGGCTTGATATGATGAATAACGACCATATTTTTCATTTTTATGAATGAAAAATGAGAAACGAACATGGACTATATGTTAATTAATGGAAAGTTGAAGATAAGAATGCGATGAAAAAAAGCTATGTTTAATGAAACAAAAATGTGATGCGTATATAGTAAGATGTGGCGAGAATATAATTGCATATATTGTATTCAAACAATAATTTGTTCACTGATTCATCACATTTTAATTGCAATTAAGGACCTTAACATTTTATCTACTTATATTTCTTAACTTTTTTCCGTCACATTTGTATTCTTTACCTTCAAAAATTTTACATTTATTGTCCTCGATGATGATTTTTATCTTCATAGTACGATAGAACTCTTCGAAATAAAGGATAAATATTTAATCGAGCAATTTTATAACATAATCATAATTAGGAAAAATTGTACAACGGTCGACAACCTATTGTCACAATAACAAGTTGGTCCTTAAACTTTAAAAATTAACAATTTGATCTCGCACCTCTAATTATAGTTGCAGATTTAGGTCATATTGACATAACAACANTTGCAGATTTAGGTCATATTGACATAACAACAAACCATCAAAATCTCTATTATACTATCGAGTCGTCTAAAGTAATAAACAAAACCCGATTTCATAAAATTATACATACTAGGATAACTTGATAATTGAACAAAGATTTAAACAATTTTTATCATTGGAACTGATTATTTAGCCCCTGTTTGTCTCCCATTATTGGGAGAAAAATAGAGTAATGAATAGTATTTTTGGAGAATATATAGTTGAAAAATAAAGTAACTTTATTAGTTTGTGTGTAGAATATTTTATTGATGAATGTATTGCAGATTTAGGTCATATTGACATGACAACAAACCATCAAAATCTCTATTATACTATCGAGTCGTCTAAAGTAATAAACAAAACCCGATTTCATAAAATTATACATACTAGGATAACTTGATAATTGAACAAAGATTTAAACAAATTTTATCATTGGAACTGATTATTTAATAATAAAAGATACGTAGAAAATTTTATCAGCACAATATCAAACGGGGTGACCATAGAGAAGTTCATGTCCACCACCCCACTTTTTGAAGCCTCAAGATTCATAGCTGCCACATGACACCACACACCTACCTACCTACCTACCTAGTACCTACTTACCCACTTGCCACCAGACGTGTCAAAAAAAAAATGAAAATAATTGGTGATGAATTTGTTTCTTTTCAAAAGTTAGGTACTAACTTACCATTGAAATAATAAGTTGGGGGTTAATAGTAAAATTATTTCTCATGAAAATGTTGGTTTTATTAGGTTAATGGTCAATTATCAATTGAGTTGAGCAGTCAGATTATTTAGCCATTGTTTGAGCCACATTTTTTCATAAAAATATATTTTTGAACAGTGATTTGATCTCATTTCAACTACACACATTTCAATAAAATAATATTACACATAAATTTAAAATTTTTAATTACACGTTCTTCATCATAGCACTATTATAAATTTTATTTTTATTTTTTGAAAAAATTGGGTTCAAACACGCCCTTAGTACAAAGGCACGCGAAAAATGAAGTGAATTGGACACAATTATTACTTTGGGTCAAAGTTTAATCAAACTTGACTACTCTATCTTGACGTTTTAGCTCAACTCCTTACCTAATTAGTTATGATGATTAAGTCCCTATTTGGTACAATTTTTTATTTTTTTCCACAAACCCATTTCAATCGCACGTTCTCCCAAAAAATAATTTTACACATGAATCATAACATTTTTCTACTTTTAAGTCAAACAAGTTCTTAAAAAATATCCGAAATTGAAAAAAAAGAAAGAAAGTAGACAATAGAACACGTGTAAATTTATAACGACATTTGACATGTTGAAAAAAATGTGATTAAAGAAGACAGAGATATGATCAATATTTATCGATGGTTATATATGTCTCGTTCAAGGCAATATATCAAATATGCAAATAAGGTAATAAATGGTTTAAAGTGGAAATTTGGGCGCTAGTCGTATTTATATATTTTTTTCAAGTGTTTTTCATTTATACATTTTAAGGTAAATATCTTTCGATGGACATGTATTTATATATATTGTTGCAATGCTAAATCGCGTTCAATTTAACATATCAAACAGGTTAAAATAATATTACATGACTTTAGAATGAAAAATTTGCCATGTTCACCCCAACGTCGGCCTAATTTTGTTTTTCTTTGTCAAGTGCGTATAGTTTATTTAGGAAATTTTACAAAAAGCATCTTATAATTAGGACCTTTTTACATTTTATATATCATATTTTGTAAGAAAATAAAAATATTTATAAGTTTGTCTTATGAAAAACTAAAGTATTACACAATTTAATATATAACTACTATGGTTTGAAATTGGCATTTTTTAATGATTTTCCACAAATGGCCATTATAAAGATTTTTCCTTTGTCACCTCAAATGGGCACTTTTTCAATAAAGAAAGAAAATCCGATCAGATGTAATGACAGAAGATGATGTGATGGGAGGTGATTCGGTGGGACAATTACTTGTATTTAAAATCGTCTAACGATATGTAATGTGGTATTATGTCAATCATTATGTCAAAGTTTCTGTTCATGTATCATAATTGATAGAGGAAATTCGATCAATGTCAATTTTCACCTGATTGATTCAAAAAATGATAACTTTTTTAATGGTTTGTACAACTGGCTATTTTGGACTAAAAAAATAAAAAAGAATCCAAAATTTGAATAAATTCTTATGAGTTGATCAAAATTATCCTTAAAAGTAACATGGGTTACAAGAAATCCTTCTATTTTCTTTATTTTCCGTTCTCTTTCCTAATTCTTCCAACTTCATAAAATTCGTTTCTCTCCACGATCGGCTGTCCTACTTCATTTCTCACCGGTATCTCGAAATCATTGTAATAACCTTTTTTTTTTAATGAAAGAGATGTACAGATTAGGATTTGTAAGGAAATTTTATTTTTTTTATTTTTTTGTAAATATTGATGATTTAAATTTGTTGTAGTTGATTAATGGTAATTGTGATGTGGGATTTGTTTTTGAAGTATTGATTTGGAAAATGTAGTTTGAAAACGACAAACATTTTTTTTTCTTTTGTTGTGAAATCGATATGTACTTTTAAGAAAATCGTAATTAGCACATAACGTTCACATCTTTCAATATTATTGTGGAAAACGTTCGTACATTTCATTTTCTAGCATTTTCGTCCTTATTTTCACAATTCATTGCGCAAAATGTCATTTTCATACATTTTCTCAATTAAAAATTATGAAATAACGAATATACCTTTCTCTTTAAATAAAACAAAAAGAAAATAAAAAAAAAGTAATTGCAACCATGGCCCCAATTTTGTTTTTAAAAAGTGCAAATATGTTCCAAATCAATTATCAAAAGGGTAATTGGTACATAATGTCCCTACATTTCACTGTTATTGTGGCAAAAGTCATTGTCTTTCGACACGATTTAAACTCGCCTCATATGGCATATTACTTAAGAGTCGCACCTTTATGTATCAGATTGATGCCCTGATCATTTCGTTAACTTTATATTATTGACTAAGAGCCTGTTTGGGCGCAATTATAATTACAATTCCAACCGTTGCTACAGTAACAACCCACAAATTTTTATTTTTGTTTACTCACAGCCAGCCCACAATTTAAATGGCAACGGTTCAAAAAAGTTAATTTTGTGTAATTTTAACTGCGCCCAAACAGACGCTAAAGATCGATGAACACAATCGATTAATTTTAGTGGTCTCGAACGGGTTGGTCTATAGAGCATAGCGTACATCGTCAAGGTCCGTTGGTCATGAAATGAGCTGACACATAATACAGGACGACTTGAGCCTATGTCGAGCCAACTGTTGAACAGACCAACCCGTTCGAGACCACTAATTATTGAGGAAATTACACAAAGCCCTGTGTTTCAAGATTCAATTTCAAAAATCAGGATGAGGATTTTTTTGTTCAAAAATTAGGTGTTTGATATTTTAAATATTAAATATACAAGTTTCACTCTCAAACCCTAAAAATCAAATACCACTCTCATATCCCTCTCTCTCTCTTCCCGTCGCCTCTCCCTCTCATCTCTCCCTTGCACGTGGCCGCTGTCGACGAAGACCACAGCGGAGGGCGACAGCCCTCAGCAATGCCTCCGAGCATCGCTTGTAGCCGTCGATCTGTGCGGTGGTCGACCGTACCCACTCTCATTGGACTGAAACCCACCCCCAATCGACGACGACAAGAGATGACAGCAGTAGCATTGCCTCAGAAAGCCCTTATTTGACTGCTGCAAGCGACATCAACACCAGTGGACGCATTGGTGCTCACTGCTCGAAGCGGCGCAATAGTAGTGTCGCCTCAGAAACAACGGCAGAGCTCTAGATTTTTAGGGTATTTTTCGTTTTTGATTCATCTATTGTGCGGTGGTCGACAGTGGTGATGGTAGTTCTTGTGGCGGGTGCTTTGGGTGTGAGATGGCACATGTGATGTGATCTGGTTGTGGTTGTTGCAGATCATATTTGAAGAAATAAATCGGCGATTGTGGTTGTTGGTGGCGGCTGCGACCGCGATGGTGGAGTGGGACGAACCATGTAGCGGCTGCGATGGTGGTGGATCCTGGTGATGGTGGTGTTTTGTGCAACAACTATTTAATTGTGGTGGCGAATCTGGTTGTTTTT